CAAATCAATGATTTTATTCTCTCCTCCTGGGAAACTGTGGAGGGGGGTGTCAGCTTTCAGCCTGACAATTAAAATGTTCCCATCAAACTAAAGCGAAAACGTTCCGTCTAATCTGGGACTTTTATCCCTCCACACAACACAGAATTTGGCCCAGAAACAAAACCAAACGACTCCGAGAGTACTACAACTCCCATAATGCCCTGCTGCTGTTCAGGACCCAAAAATGACCCAAAGAAAGAAACAGGAGCTTTCTGGACAAGCTAATTTATTTAGATATTTAATTGATCACTTTTGCTCTATTTTTTGCTTTTTTTTGGTTGTATATTTGTTAATTTTATCAATGTTTTTGGTGTGTTTTCTGGTCATTTATATCTTTGTTTTTCTGCTTTTTTTGTGAATATTTAGTCATTTTAGCTCAATTTTTGCTCTATTTTGGTCATTTTAGCTCTATTTTTTGCTTTTTTTTGGTTGTATATTTGTTAATTTTATCAAAGTTTTTTGGTGTATTTTCTGGTCATTTTTATCTTTATCATTTTATCTTTGTTAATTTCCCTCTGGGATTATTAAAGTATTTCTGATTCTGATTCTGATTTTCTGCTTTTCTGTGTGAATATTTACTCATTTTAGCTCCATCTTTGCTCTATTTGTTTTAGCTCTATTTCTTTGGTTGTATATTTGTTAATTTGATCATTGTTTTTGGTGTATTTTCTGGTCATTTATCTCTTTTTTTCCTGCTTTTTTGGTGAATATTTGGTCATTTTAGCTCAATTTTTCCTCCATTTTGGTCATTTTAGCTCTATTTTTTTGCTTTTTTGGTGCATTTTTTGGTCATTTCAAGCCCTTGTTTTTGCTTTTGGTGGATTAAAAAACTAAATGAGTGAGGATCCGTCCCTGGTTTTCAGATATTTAATTCAGAAGGCTACCAATAGAAAAATGTTTTAAAATTTTATTTCATAAACGAATGCTGTTGATGTGTATTTTTATTTGAAATTTGATTTTGCATGTCTACACTATTAACTTATATATAATGTAATAAGAGTTGCTTGTTCCTTATTCAATGTTAAAGCAGAATTCTTTTTGTTCCATATTTAAAAGGTTCATTTGTTGAATCTTGGCCCGCGGCTTTGTTCGGATTTACATGATTTTGTCCCTGTGTGTTTTGGAGTTTGACACCCTGTTTTAAGCCGTTTGACATTTGATCCTAACGCCTGTATTGTCGGGCCGATGGCGGTCTGAGAGAGAAGAGAACAGGAAGCACAAACAGTGAGAAAACTCAACCTGATCAGGTGTCAAAGAAAAGACACACACAGATCCCGTTACCGCACAGCTCCTCTTACACAGAAACACGCTTTTTATTCTTATCCTGGACACTCAAACACAGATTTCCCTGTCTGAGGAAATTATCTGCAGAGAGCTGAAGTCTGGAAGTTAAAGAGGAATACAGCAGAACCTCTAAATATGAGTCTAACTGGGTCTATGTTCAAATATTGGTATTATATTATTATTAATATTGGTATTATTCAAATATAAGAGGGTTAGAATAGGATTTATTTGATCTTTGTTCATGGAAAATATAGAAGAGTGTTGAAGGTCTACTTAAAAAAACACACACATACATACATAAATAAATAAATAAATAAATAAATAAATATATATATATATAAATAAATCAAATAGAACTCCAGATAAAGGAGGAGGAAAAAGGGTTGTAAAAACCTAAGTACATCTTAGACTAGTTATTTTGATGTAATTTTGACAGTTTTTAATATAATTTTCTATGCCTTCAACGTCATAAACTAACTTAGCTTAATTATTTTGATTTAATTTTTATATATTATATATTTTTTCCTATGAATTCGACTTACGTTGGAAATTTATTTGGGTGTCAAGTCAAATATTTGATAAAATTTCACTTCAGATGTTGGAAAATTATCATAAATTTAGGCCTCAGAAGTCGAGGTTGTGCTGTATATTGATCTATGATGTTATTTTTTTTTTTTTATGAATTGAACTTTATTTAGGTTTTAACAAAATAAAATATACAAAGTATTCCATGTTGCACATTAGACCAATTGGGTATGCAAGCACTGAAAACATAGACAATATAAAACAAAACAAACCATAAAAGAAGAACAAGAAAGATGCCAACAACACACTTATCTATCATGTTAGATATCATTGATTAGTCCAGAGTGTATTGCTTACAGACTTTAAATAATTAAATTAAATAAATATAATTTGCGAGGTTTGTTTATATTTGAATGTGCAAAAG